TAGTAGTAGTAGTAGTAGTAGTAGTAGTAGTAGTAGTAGTAGTTGTAGTTGTAGTTGTAGTTGTAGTAGTAGTAGTACTACTACTACTACTACTATTACTAGTACTCGTACTAGTACTAGTACTAGTTCTAGTACTAACACTAGTAGTACGAGTAGTACTCGTAGTACTAGTCGAACTAGTAGTACTAGTAGTACTGTAGTAGTAGTAGTAGTAGTAGTAGTAGTAGTAGTAGGAGTAGTAGTAGTAGTGTTGTAGTAGTAAAGTAGTAGTAGTAGAGTAGTAGTAGTAGTAGTTAGTAGTAGTAGTAGTAGTAGTAGTAGTAGTAGTAGTAGTAGTAGTAGTAGCAGTAGTAGTAGTTAGTAGTAGTAGTAGTAGTAGTAGTAGTAGTAGTAGTAGTAGTATAGTAGTAGTAGTAGTAGTAGTAGTAGTAGTAGTAGTAGTAGTAGTAGTAGTATTCATAGTAGTAGTACGAGTAGTGGGAGTAGTAATGGTAGTAGAAGTCGTCGTTGTCGTCGTCGTGGAGTAGGAGTAGTAGTACTAGTCGTAGAAGAAGTAGTAGAAGTAGTAGTAGTTGTTGTAGTAGTTGTAGTAGTGGTAGTAGTAGTAGTAGTAGTAGTAGTAGCAGCAGTAGCAGCAGTAGTAGTAGTAGTGGTAGTAGTAGTAGTAGTAGTAGTAGTAGTAGTAGTAGTAGTAGTAGTAGTAGTAGGAGTAACAGTAGGAGGAGTAGTAGTAGTAGTAGTAGTAAGAAGAGTAGTAACAGTGCCACGCGACCACCGACCCTTCGGCGATGGCCTCCACCTTACGGGACCACTGGTCGAAGGTATTCGCAGCCCAGCACACCGACGCCGCCCTCCGATCCCAATGGCTGCACGAGGAAGCAGACCACGGCGCGCCAGAAGATGCAAGACACCTCCCCTTCAACAAGCCCTCCCGGGAGGACTTCAAGAACGCCTTGCGCTTCTCCAAGAACAGTGCGCCGGGCCCAGATGGCATTACTTTCCGGGCATGGCGCAGGCTTGGCGACTTCGGGACTACCATCTTGTACGACGCCTTTTCCGCCCTCACTGCCGACGACGCGCTGGAGGCTCTCGACCAGGACTGGCGGGACTGCAATTCCAGCATCTTGGTCTTCTTGCCGAAAAAGCATTCCGGCGAGACCGAGGACGGCATCTTGGCGTACGAGGCCGCCAACACCAGGCCGCTCAACATAGCGAACGCCGACAATCGGCTCATCTGCAGCGGTGTCCGGCTGTGCATCGAGCCGCAGATCGCCCCGGGGATCGCCGGCGAGCAGCGGGGGTTCATCAAGGGGCGGTCGATGCTCGCCAACGTCGTCGACGTGGAGGCCGCAATGTTACGACATGCGTTCGCTTTCCCTGCAGCTGCCACAGTGTTCTTCGACTTCGAGGCCGCCTTCCCGAGCGTGTCGCACGACTTCTTGCACGACGTCCTGAAGGCTAAAGGGTGGCCCCCCTGGATATGCACGTTCGTGGCTGGCCTTTATTGGAACAATGCGTGCAGTATTTCTCTTGGAGGTCACCGCAATAACGGTTTTACGCTGTCTTCTGGAGTGCGGCAGGGCTGTCCGCTATCGCTGCTGCTCTTCGCGGTCATCTCGGACGTTCTCACTCGGCGGGCCCTGCGCATGGCTCCGCTGATCACGCTCCGGGCATACGCGGACGACATTGCCGTCGTGCTCTCGAACGCTTTCGTCGAGGCGCGCATTCTGGAGAACATCTTCACATAATGCCGCGCTATCTCTGGCCTTCGGCTCAACCACGGGAAAATCGTCTGAGGACGGCCCAACTCCACCTGGGGGGCGATGATCGGGATTTGGTTTTTCGCCAACTCCGTCGACACATGGACCACTTCCCGCTCCTCCTCCTCCCTGGGCGCTAGGTTGATCGCGCAGTTCGGCTTCTGCGTGGTCTTGCCTGGGACGTCCCTCCCAGGGTCTGGTTTGCTACGTTCCGCGCGCTCTGCAACGGATGGGTTACGAGAAGTCGATTTGGCGAAGATGGCCCTTGCATTTTCGGATGTGGCCACCATCAGGATTCCCTGCAACATTACGCGGCGTGTCCGGTAGTGATGGATTTTGCCAGACGGAAGCTCGGCTTCCCGCGTGCTCCGGTCGCTGATCGCCTCGACGCCTTCCTGCTCGATGCTGCTCATTCGGCCAGTTGCGCCAAACGCCACGGAGGCACCAGCAGCGCAGCAGAAGCGCTCGCGCAATTCGCGCGCGAGGCGGCCGCCGGACACCCTCGACTACGACGAGCGCTGGCTGACACATGGGTCCGGTAGCGGGCGGCTCGCACTTCAGCGTCGCATTGTGCATGGGTGGCTTCTCTCGGCGAGGTGGGCCACTCCCTGTTCGTGCGGCTGTGGGCCAATGACTGGTCGCACCACCTGTACTCCACCGATGTCAATGGCTGCTTCGGCAACGGGTGGATCGGCGACCTCAGCATGTTTGCGTTCGTTCCCACCTGGGCCCTCGTTCACCTCTTCGTGTACGTGGTCAACTGGGCCTTCTTTCCTTGAGGCACCCGCCGCGCGCGTTCACTAATTGTTTGCCCCCCGTCCTCCTCCTCCCTTCCTCTCCTCCTCCGCTTCCTTCTTTTCTCCCCTCCCGGGCCACTCTCAGGAAATCCAGTGCTACATAGCTTTTGCTGTCGCAGTGCCGTTTTGTGGGGCCGGCCAGAATTTTGGCGAGGGGGGGCACGATTTGTCCGCCCACCTCCGTGGCAGTGGCTTCCGGGCACACACGGGGCAGCCTGACCACCGGGGCACTTGAGGCCGGCAAGGCCCAGGACGCTCGGCAGGAACGCATTTTCGCCCCCGTCCCCTTCCCGCTCCCTCCTCTCTTGCTCTCCTCCCTCCTCTTCTGTCGTCGTTGGTCGTGTCCTCTCGCCTTTTCCTCCTCTGTGGATGTGGAAGTTGTTGGTTATTCCCCCAGCTTGGGCTGGGCAGCCATAAGGGCTGCAAGTGGAGCAGTCTGTGACCTAATATGTTACTGCGCGTTTGTGCCTGGCCGCCGTCGTTGACAGCGGATGATTTCCACGGATGTTATGTGATGCATAACTCCTCGCCGGCAATGCGGCTTATATATAACCATGAGTTTTGCTATATTCCAGCGTTCGCCTTCGCGCCTCCCCCCTCCTCTCCTGCTCGTCCTCCTCTTCCCCGCCCGGTCTCACCGATACGAAATGGGGTGTATTCGTATCGTTCCCGCTCGCATGGTGGTTTTATGCTCTAGTTTCTGTGCTCTCCTTCCGTCTCTGCCTCCCTTGGCTGTGCACGGTGCGCGATCGTCCGTGTCCATGCCCGGTGCCCTGGATTGCGCCGTGTTTCAATTCCCCGCGATATTTCGCGATTTGTACTTTCAGTTTTGCGCCTGCCGCCGCACGGTGACGATTCATATGCGCCATCGCTCGCTGGACTGCTCACCTACGTGGCTGGACGCATCATTTGCGCGGCGATTGAGGTAGCTCACTGGCGCCAACGAGTGTGTCATCGTGCTGATGTGTCCGCTCCCCCTCCTCCCCTCCCAAAAAAAATAGTGGTAGTAGTAGTAGTAGTAGTAGTAGTAGTAGTAGTAGTAGTAGTAGTAGTAGTAGTAGTAGTAGTAGTAGTAGTAGTAGTAGTAGTAGTAGCGTAGTCGTAGTCGTAGTCGTAGTAGTAGTAGTAGTAGTAGTAGTAGTAGTAGTAGTAGTAGTAGTAGTAGTAGTAGTAGTAGAAGTAGTAGTAGTAGTAGTAGTAGTAGTAGTAGTAGTAGTAGTAGTAGTAGTAGTAGTAGAAGTAGTAGTAGTAGTAGTAGTAGTAGTAGTAGTAGTATAGTAGTAGTAGTAGTAGTAGTAGTAGTAGTAGTAGTAGTAGTAGAGTAGTAGTACTAGTAGTAGTAGTAGTATAGTAATGGTAGTAGTAGTAGTAGTTGTAGTTAGTAGTAGTAGTAGTAGTAGTAGTAGTAGTAGTAGTAGCAGTAGTAGTAGTAGTAGTAGTAGTAGTAGTAGTAGTAGTAGTAGTAGTAGTAAGTAGTAGTAGTAAGTAGTAGTAGTAGTAGTAGTAGTAGTAGTAGTAGTAGTAGTAGTAGTAGTAGTAGTAGTAGTAGTAGTAGTAGTAGTAGTAGTAGTAGTAAGTAGTAGTAGTAAGTAGTAGTAGTAGTAGTAGTAGTAGTAGTAGTAGTAGTAGTAGTAGTAGTAGTAGTAGTAGTAGTAGTAGTAGTAGTAGTAGTAGTAGTAGTAGTAGTAGTAGTAGTAGTAGTAGTAGTAGTAGTAGTAGTAGTAGTAGTAGTAGTAGTAGTAGTAGTAGTAGTAGTAGTAGTCGTAGAAGTAATAACAGCGCACTTGTATATCATTCTTTTTTATTTGTATGTCAGCCCTAGCAGCAAGGCAATTGTTCAAAGCATTCCCAGACGCCGCCGGCGCGAATCATGACGTTACCAGGGGAAGGCGCCGCCTGTGACGGGCGTTATCGCGAATTATAAAAACATGGTCTCTAGACCCCGACGCCCGGCCGAAGATCTTCGGCGCGAAGTCGGCGAACATCGTCAGGTCCCGGCGCACGCTCCCAGACTGGATCCAGACCCCCCGCTCCGCCGTCATCCCTTTCGGCGTGTTCGAGAAGGTCATGGCGCACGGGGACAACAGGGAAGTCGCCGAGGAGTACCAGCGCCTAGTCGACGAGGAGCTCCACTCCTCCGCCACTCCTCTCGAGGTGCTGGAAGAGCTCCGGATGTGCATCATGCGCCTCGAGGCCCCGTCTGAGATGGTCGAGGCCGTCAAACAGGCCTTGGTGGATTCGGAGATCATACAGCCAGGCCAGTTGGAGGGGAGCGACTGGGACGACGCTTTCCAGGCGCTCAAGGGCGTGTGGGCCTCCAAGTGGAACGACCGGGCCTACTTCTCCTGCAGCAAGGCCGGCATCGGCATCGAGTTCGTGCAGATGGCCGTCCTCGTCCAGCGCCTCGTCGAGGCCGAGTACGCCTTCGTGCTCCACACCGTGAACCCGTCCACCAACGACGCGGCCTACATGTACGGCGAGGTGGTGGTCGGCCTGGGCGAGACGCTCGTCGGCAACTTCCCCGGGCGCGCGCTCGGCTTCCAGATGCGGAAGGACATGTCGGCGGCGCCGGAGGTCCAGTCGCTGCCCTCGAAGAGCACGGGGCTCTTCGGCGGCGGGCTCATCTTCCGCTCGGACTCCAACGGCGAGGACCTTCCAGGCTTCGCCGGCGCCGGTCTGTACGATTCGATCCCCATGGTGACCAACTCGGAGCGGACGCTCCAGTACTACAAGGAGAGGCTGGTGACGGACAAGGCCTTCGCCGAGGAGCTGATGCGCGGCCTCGCCAAGGTCGCCGTCGACGTGGAGGGCGTGTACGGCGGCGCGCCGCAGGACATCGAGGGGTGCTACAAGGACGGCAAGTTTTTCGTGGTGCAGACGCGGCCGCAGGTGTGAGCGGCCAGGTGGGTCTGCGCACGCTGGCGGCGACGAAGTTTGCGACGACGCTGGCGATGGCGACACCGACCACTCAGGAGGGGAAAACACACACAGGCACAATGAATCGTCGATCCCCAGGAAAATATATGGGAAAAGATGGGAAGTGGGGGGGAGGACAGAGACCCAGAAAATATGGGAAAATATGGTGAATATTTTCATTTGTGTGTATTTATTTGTGTGTCCTGGGGCCCCTTCAACAACGACGATTCGATGCACCCTGCGACGCGTCGGCTACGACGTCGACGAAGGCGGCCTCGACGCCGAATTCGAACAAGTCTGCGCGTTCGACACGGCGAAGACGACGATGACGATTTCAACGCGAACTTCGACGACGACGACGGTGGCGACGGCCACGCCGACGACTTCGACGAAGCCTTCGACGCATTCTGCGAATTCGACGTGAAAGATGACGACGACGCTGCCAGCGATGACAGTACTTCGTCGAGATCCCCTTGATTCGATGACGGCGACGTCGACAACCGCGACGTCGATAAGGGCGACTTCGAGGACGTTAACTTTGACAACGGACCCATACCTGAAAATCCTCTCAGCATCGGCCCCCGGACCCATCCCAGAGTCCATAGTGGCCAGTTGCTCGAGCCTCGCCCAGCGGTGTCGCAGAAACATTCCATACGACGCCGAAGCGAAGATGTCGTCGGCGTCCCAGAGACGGCGATGGCGAATTTTTCAATACGAGGTCCCTGGACCTCTCCGCTCGTGCCCCTGGCCGCTGCAGATTGTCGCTCTCGCTCTTCTCCCCCCTCTGTCTCCTCCTGTCTTTTCCCTCCTGGGCTGCCGCTGTGTGGCGTTTTCAATTATGGAAGTGGCCTGCTGGGCCGCAGCGGCTCGTCGCACAGTGTCCCCGCCCCTTCCTCGCTTCCTCTTCCGTCAGCGCGACGGCGCCCCACGGCCTGCGATGGCACGGCGGACTTTTGCTTGTGGAGCGCTTGCTTCGGAAAGAGATGTGAGCCGGAGTGGGCCCCAAACGGTGTGCGGCGACTGCGACAACATAGCCGCCAGACCGACAGACAGGCTCAGACGACGGGCGGCGACGGGGCGGCGACGGCGGCCACGGAACCGCCAGACGGGCCGACAGGCCCAGACGACGGACGGCGGCGAGGCGGCGACGGAACGGCGACGGCGGCCACATGGCCGCCACGCCGGCAGACTGGCCCAGTCCCGCAGAGAAGGAGCAAGACCCCCTGAGCGCAAGAGTTCCTTGAGGAAGTAGGGCCGTCCGACTGCTCGACCGCCCCGGGCGTCACTGGGGACCGCTTTCTGTCGGCCCGGGGACCTCTTATCGACGGCCCCGCGGCCTCGAGCTAGCGTCCAGAGGCCAGAACAACGGCAACACGCTGGCCTCGCCGATTTATTCGAGGCGTCGGATGTCCGGGTCGTCGTCGTCGTCGTCGTCGTCGTCGTCGTCGTCGTCGTCGTCGTCGTCGTCGTCGTCGTCGTCGTCCTCTGTCGTCTGTTGTCCGTCCTCTGTCGTCTGTCGTCGTCGTCGGCGTCGGTGTCGGCGTCGGCGTCGTCATCTTTGCCGTCGTCGTTGTCGGCGCCGTCATCGTCGTCGTCTGTCGTCTGTCGTTTGTCGTCGTCGTCGTCTTCTTGTCTTTGGTCTGTCGTCTGTCGTCCGTCGTCTATCGTCTTTCGTCGTCGGCGTCGGCGTCGGCGTCGTCTGTCGTCTATCGCCGTCGTCGTCGGCGTCGGCGTCGTCTGTCGTCGTCGTCGTCTTCTCCAACGCCGTCGTCGTCTGTCGTCTGCCGTCTGCCGTCTGTCGTCGTCGGCATCGGCGTCAGCGTCGTCGTCGTCGTCGGCGTCGGCGTCGTCGTCGGCGTCGGCGTCGGCGTCGTCGTCGGCGTCGGCGTTGGCGTCGTCGTCGTCGTCGTCTGTCGTCGGTGTCGCCGTCTGTCTTCTGTTGTATTTCGTCTGTCGTCATTCACGGCGTCGTAGTTGTCGGCGGCGGTGGCGTAGTCGGCGTCGGCGTCGGCGTCGGCGTCGGCGTCCGCCGTCGCCGTCGCCGTCGCCGTTGCCGTCGCCGTCGCCGTGGCCATCGCCGTCGGCGTCGTCGTTGTTAGTCGTCGTCTGTCGTCATTGTCGTCGTCGTCGTCGTCGTCGTCGGTGTCGTCGTCGGCATCGGCGTCGGCATCGTCGGCGTCCTCGGCGTCTTCGTCGTTGTCGCCATCGTTGTCGTCGTCTGTCGTCTGTCGTCTGTCTTCTGCCGTCTGCCGTCTGTCGCCTGTCGTCTGTCGTCCTCGGCGTCGATGTCGGCGTTGGCGTCGCGTCGTCGGCGTCGTCGGCGTCGGCGTCGGCGTCGGCGTCGTCGTTGTCGTTGTTTTCGTCGCCGCCGTCGGCGCCGTCGCCGTCGTCGTCGTCGTTTTCGGTCGCCTGTCGTCTGTCGTCGTCGTCTGTCGTCGTCAGCGTCGTCTGTCGTTTTCTGTCGTCTGTCGTCGTCGGCGTCGTCGTCGGTCGTCGTCGTCTGTCGTTTTCTGTCGTCTGTCGTCGTCGGCGGCGTCGTCGGTGTCGTCGTCGGCGTCGGCGTCGTCGGCGTCGTCGGCGTCGTCGTCGGCGTCGTCGTCGTTGCCGTCGCCGTCGTCGTCGTCGTCCGTCGTCTGCCGTCAGTCGTCTGCCGTCTGTCGTCGTCGGCGTTGTCGACTGTCGTCGTCGGTGTCGGCGGCGGCTGCATGTCGTCGTCGGTGTCGCTGTCGGCGTCGGCGTCGGCGTCTTCGTCGTCGACTGTCGTCTTTCGTCCGTCGACGGCGTCGTCTGTCGCCTGTCGTCTGCTGTCTGCCGTCTTCCGTCTGTCGTCTGTCGTCGGTGTCGGCGTCGGCGTCGTCGTCGCCGTCGCCGTCGCCGTCGCCGTTGCCGTTGCCGTCGCCGTCTCCGTCGCCGTCGTCGTCGTCGTCGCCGTCGTCGTCGTCGGCGTCGGCGTCTGTCGTCGTCGTCGTCGTCTGTCGTCTGTTGTCCGTATTCTGTCGTCTGTCGTCGTCGTCGTCGGCAGCGGCGGCGTCGTCGTCGTCGTCGTCGTAGTCATCGTCGTCGGCGTCGTCGTCGTCGGCGTCGGCGTCGGCGTCGGCGTCTTCGTCTTGGTCTGTCGTATTTCGTCTGACGTCGGCGTCGTCGTCTGTCGTCTGTCGTCTCTGCCGTTTGCCGTTTACCGTCTGTCATCGTCTGCCGTCTGTCGTCTGCCGTCTGCCGTCTGCCGTCTGTCGTCGGTGTCGGCGTCGGCGTCGGCGTCAGCGTCGTCGTCGTCGTCGTCGTCTGTCGTCGTCGTCGTCGGCGTCGTCGTCGTCTGTCGTCGGTCGTCGTCGTCGTCGTCGTCGTCGTCGTCGTCGTCGCCATGTTCGACGAGCTCGGCGACGGCGGCGGTGTCGGCGCCGAGCGCAGGGGCAGCGACACCACCACCACCACCACCACCACCACCACCACCACCACCACCACCACCACCACCACCACCACCATAGAGTGACCACCGGCGGCGAAGAGGAGGAGGCCCACGATGCCTTCCCGAGGCTGGAGACCAGAGAGGCCTCTCGAGCGAGGCATCTCTAGGCCTCCCAGATGCGGTCAGAGCAGATGGTGTCGGAGGATCGCGCCGCATCGCCGTCGGCGATGCGGCTCGATGTGGAGCCCGCTTTTTTCTGCACACCCGCGGTGCCGATGCATCGCCGAAGTCGCCGACGCATCGCCGATGCATCGGCGATGCATTGGCGACGCGGCGCCATCCTCGGACCCCATCTGCTCGGACCCTCTCTGGGAGGCCTCTCGCATTGGGACCTCACCAGGAGGGCCCCCCCCCTTGGCTCCTCGCGCTGGTGGTCCCAGGCATCCGCCGACGTGACCTTTCAATGCGCGGCCCCAGAGGACCCGACCCCTCTCCGCGTCCACGGAGGGCAGCTTGACGCCCCGGAGCGGTTTGTTTCTGATGGCCGCGGGGGCCCGACGACGCGGCCCAGAAAGCTTCGGATGTGGGAGGGATGGTGCATGCGACGGGGCACGGAGGCGGGTGGGGGCTGACCAAAAACTGGGGGCTGACCAAAAACTCGCAGAAGCCTGCCCAGCATCGTGGATTGCCAGAATCTCCCCCTGCCCAGAGGCGCCCCCAGCTTCTCATGCCATCTCGGAGCCCCGTCGGGGCCTGGGGGTCTCGTGAGGGGGTGCTCTGGCGGCCGGGGGGGCCTCCTTGGAAATCCCGGGGGCACCTTGGGCCAGGGGCATTCCTCCTCCTCCTCCTCCTCCTCCTCCTCCTAGCTCCTCCTCCTCCTCCTCCTCC